CCTGATCACACCAAGGAAGATTCTGGAACAAACCACTACGTATTCTGTATATTTTGCGTAGGTGTCCCTACTTCAAACAGAGTGACCACTTCATAAACAGTTCTGTCCTGGGGTGTGCCAGGAGAGCCGTGGCCCACGTGGGCAGCTGCTTCCTTGCCCAGGACCCACCCAGATGAACCCTCCAAGGCCAGGCCAGCTCTGGGAGCTAAGAGCAGCAGCCGGCCCTCTCTGGACCTAGACTCCTTCCCTCAGGAGCCCGTCACCCCAGGAGCATCTCTGTGAGGACCAGGCCAATGGGGCGGCCACAGCACGGGCAGGAGAGCGCACAGCACGCCGGAGATCAAGCAGAAGCTCTGTGCGGAGGGGGCCCGGCAGGGACGAGTCCTAGGCACTCTGCAACCTCTCCCTGCCTGGGGGAGGTCAGTAGGCAGAGAGCAAGGTGAGGCGCCAGCAGGAGCTCTCCCTGAGCTGCCCCTGGGGGCCGAGCCAGCCACGTGGAGCTGGAAACAGCTCCGGTCAGCTCTGCCCAGGGCCGGCGCCTCGACCCTCTGCAGCAGCTCACTCACCGGGACCTGAGCCTGTGTGGGCCAGGAGCCAGGGCTGCGTGTGCCCGCGGGTGACAGCACCGAGGGCCTGGGCAGGTCCGAGGCCCCAGGGGGCCCCTGCAGCAGGCCAGGGGGTCTGTCAAAGCCAGAGAATCAGTTCTTCTGAATAGGAAGGGAAGGTTGCCCTGTCTTCCCCAGCCCACGGCTGCCTGGGGGGGGTGTCAGAGAAGGGGAGTGAGGAGGTCCCTGCCAAGGAAGGGTGGCAACGTAGGTGAGGACCCGTTTGGGGATGTGAGGAGAGGCCACAAGTATGCGACCCACTGCCAGGTGTGGCCGCGGGGTCCCCAACCCACGGGGGGAGGCACCCTGCTGAGGGGCGCGGGAGGGCTCGGCCTTGACCCGCGTGTCTGCTGGGCACCGGCGGGGAACACTGGACCCCGGCCCTGCGAGCCTCCGCCCGCGGCGCGGCCCACCCCACCACCCTCGCCGCGCGATGCCCTATTAAGGGCATGACCACGGGGATTCCACGGGGCCCTCCCGCCTCTCCCGGGGGCCGCCGCAGCCGCGGGGGGTCGAGCGGGGCCGGCGAGGCAGCGGCCTGGGCTGTGCCCGGGGCCGCGATAGAAGCAGCCACGGCGGACCAGCGGTCAGAGGCCGTGAGGACCCGCCAGGGCCCAGCCGGACTGCAGGTCGCCCGCACGGTGCGCGGGGCCGGCGGCGCCGTACCTTTGTACTTCTCCCGCACCTCCTCGTAGGCCTGGATGAAGTCCAGCTCGTCGGGCGGCGGGCCCGGGGGCGGCGGGGCGGCCATGCCTGGGCGCGGGGCGCGGCGGCGCGGAACAGCCTCCAGACCCGGCGGCCACCGGCCCCGCGGCCGCGCGCCACTTAAAGGGGCGGCTCCGCCCCGCCCCCCCCCGCACCCAGGATGCCCCACGGGCGGGGCGGGGCCGGGCGAGGGGCCAGGGGGCCGGGGCCCGCGCGGGGCGGGCTGGGCAGGCTCCCGGCCGCCGCACCCCTCCCGCCCCCACCCCGACCCCCGCCCCCTCCGACGTCCCGGGCGACCTCACCTGGCCGCCCCCGGGCGCGCCCGTCCCTCCTCCCCGCGCCGCTCCCGAGACGCCTCCCGCTGCTGGAGACCAGAGCTGGCGGCTTCGATATAAAAAGAGCCTCAAAGCACAACAAATTTTAGTCTAAAAGGACTAAAATAGGGAATGCGCAGCCAAAAGAAAAAAGATTTGGTAAAACTGAAAGACAGATTCTCTCCCACCCACGAAATGGGCAAAGCCCCCCGTGTCCCAGCGCGGGAGACGAACGTCCTCCTTTGCGGGCCGCAGAGTGCGCGGCCCACGCCCCGACGGCAGCTCGCCCGGGGAAGGCTGCGGCCACCACCCCACGGCGGGGGCGGACGCCGAAGACGGAGTGAGGTGCGGAAGGACACTCGTGATCCGCTTTCACGTGGGTAAAAATCCTCGTTCAAAATCCATATGTGACGCCCACACACCCTCACGGCGTCCCGCGCCTCCGCGCTGCCTTGAGCTGCTGCCGGGCCTCCCACCCATGGAGCCCCTCGCCGCTCAGCTGCTGGCCTTGCAGGCTTCTGGCCACCTGCCTCAGTGTCGCTCCGGCCTCCTGCAGGGGCCGGTCTGCCCTCCACATGCCTCGCCCTCACTCTGTCCTGGGGGTAATGGGGGTCAGCCGTCTATAGCCTGCGCCAGCGAACCCTCAGCCGGCCCTTCCCCCTCCCGCCACAGCCTGCCTGATGGCCTCCAGCCCTGGGTCACCCACTTCCCAGGGGCAGGGGCCGTCCCCAGCTGCCCCGCCCTACACTCGCAGGGGCCTCCGGCCGGGCCCTTCCCGTCCTCCACTGCAGGGCAGCGGCTGGAGGCCAAGGCAGGCCCCCGGCCCACGGAGGCCCCGCAGCTCTAGCCAACCGGGGATCCCTCCCCTCCGGCTCCTGCGTGCTCCCCCGCGCTGCCGGGGGTGGCGGCTGAGAGCAAGGGGCCTGCGAGGTGGCCCTGCCCCAGAAGCCCCAGAAAGTATCATGGCATCTGGGCACTGGCTCCTGGTCATGAGGCCCATGATGGCGCCGCCAGACCCGACTCAACCTCGGGCTCCCGCGCGGGCCTCCTGCGGCGGACAGGCAGGGGCCAGCAGGTGGCGCTGTGCGGCCCGCGGTCACCTGCCCCCAAGGCGCAGCGGGGCTCCCACAGCTGACACCTGCGGGAAGCCGCGGGCAGGTGCTCAGTCAGCAAGCGGGCGCCAGTGTCCGAACCGGACCGACCAGACCCACGGTGTTACCTGCAATGCGGATGACGGCCCGCTCGGCGGGGTCCAGCACGCTCCCATTGCCCCCCGAGCCCCCTCCGCTTCGCCGGGTCCTCTGTGTCTTCCCCAGGTTCCAGGGCAGTGTGTCCCCAGGGCTGGGCGAGCTGCTGCCTCCGTTGGCATCTTCAGCCACCGGCCGTCCCTCGTGGATCTCGCCCGACATGGCCTCCTGGAGAGGGAGCAGGAGGGGGTCACACTTCTGGGCTTAGGGGGTTACTGCACACCAACCGCCACTTCCCTAATCTGGACATTGACCGCACCCTTCGCACCCTAAACAGCCGGACACCGACCCCCACTCCCCTCCTGGGTCCCACTTCACACGTACTGACCCCCCCCAACCCAGACACTGACAACTCTCTGCTCCCATCCACAACTGGCCTCACTCCCTCCAGCTCACCCTGGGGACACCCACACAAAGACACCCCTCCCCCCAACACTGACCTCACTCCCTTGTCTATCGCCAGGACACTGGCCCCTCCACACTGTCTGCCCCAGGGCTCACGCCATCACTCAGAAACCAGCCCCCACTGGCTGCGTCCCAAACCTGCACGTCCCCTGAAAACCTCTGATCAGCCCGCCAGCAGCACCATCAGGGAGCCCTGACCGCACTCCCTGCCCTCACCCCGCCATCAGGGAAGGGTCCCGGCCCCATCCGCTGGACACCGGCGCTCTACCTCCGAGCTGTGTCAGCCTCTAGGACTCCCCACCGCCTTTCCCCACCCCCACCTCCGCGCAGTCCCACCTTGCTCTCCGCAGTGAAGGCCTGTGAGCATCGGGAGCCGCAGCGGCGTGGGCGGAGCTCGGGCCTCCCCTCCTGCCGCAGCCCAGAGCCTCACGCGCACCCGCACCCCCGGCGCTGCCGGGGCACAAGCACACCCACGCGTGACCGCTCTTCAGCTCCGGGTCCCCAAGAGCGCTGGCGTGCGGGAGGTGAATGGGGCTCTGTCCCGGCAGGGCCGGGTGGAGTGGGGGGCACAATGTGGACTCTGTGCCTCCGCCCTGGGGCTCAGCGCTGGCGAGGAGACAGCGGGCACCGGAGCTGGGGGCCACCCCGCCCCGCCTACCCTCTTCCCCCCACTCCCGCTCCTCCACCCGCACCTCTGCTCCAGTCCCCCCGCCCGGCACGCCGCTGTCACCGCGCCTCCCCAGCAGCCTTTCCTGCCCACACTCCGGGCACCGCCCGTCCAGTTCCGCAGTGCTGGGCGCGCAGAGGTGGTGTCCTCCGCAGGGAGGACGGGCCGCGACGCAGTCCCTAGTTCCGGGACGCCTGAGGCCGCAGCGCCCCCAGCCCCGCCCCGCAGCTCCCGCGCGCCGCACGCCTCTCCATCCCCCGCCGGGTCCTACGTGCCTGGTGGCTCAGCTCGGCTAGGCTCGGTCGCCGCCGCGGGACTGCCGGGAGGGGAGAGCCGCGGAGGCTGCGCAGGCGGGGCGAGCCCGGAGCCCCGCCCCGGCCCCAACCGAGCGCCGCCCGTGCGGTCGTCGCGCCCGGGTGCGCGCGGGGCCGGGGCCTCCCCGAGGCGACGGGCGGGAGCGCGCGTTTCGCTCGGCGGGCAGCGCCCGACTGGTGCGCGCCGCTCTGGCCGGGCGCAGGCCTCCCCGCGCGCACAGGGCGGGCCGGTCGGCAAGGAGACGTTGTTGGGGAGCGTGCGTGTCACTAAGGCGACGTGGGGTCGCAGGGGTGCGCGCTGGGTCCAGCCTCCGCCCGCGGCCCGGGGCTACCCCGAAGGAGCCACGGACTCTGCCCGCCGGCCCTCGCCCCTAGCCACGCCGGGGTCCCCCATTTCCCTAGCAGAGGTCGGACCCAGAGGTCCCGTAGGCCCCGCCGCCTGGTTTCCCGTAGACGTTTATTCAGGAAACAGTGGCTCTCGGTCGGGGTTTGGCCGAGGCGGGCGGGGTCGAGTGGGCCCACCCTCCCTCCGGGCTCTGCTGACCCCTGGTGGCTGGACCGGCTCCGGCGGGTACCGGCCCCCAAGCGGGGACACAGCCCTGGTCCCCCAGGTTCGCACCCTCCTGTCCACTCCCCCTAGCCAGAGGTGGGGCGACCCCAGGGGCAACTCAGGCAGCCCAGGGGGGCGGGAAGGCTGTGCGCAGCCAGGAGCCCAGGGACTGGAGGGGGCCGGGGGAGGAGGGTCAGGAGGCTGGAAAATGGCCCAAATGCCCAGAGGAGTCCTCTGGAGAAGCCCGGGCATGTGCTTGCAAGTAATGAGGTGGGTGGGCAGGGCCTGGGTGTCGCGAAAGATGACAAAGATGCTGGGCTGGCAGAGGCCGGCTACCCCGCTCCTGGCACAGGAACACGTGGCTAGGGGCCGCAGGGGGTGGGGGCCGCCCACAGGTTTCCACCACCGGGAACACTGCCTTGTGGCCATCAGCGCTTGGGTCAAGTAGCAGTCCTGCAGGGACAGGGAGGCACGCCCCTGCCCATAGAGTGTGCCTGCAGGGGACAGGCGAGGGTCAAGATGGTCTGGGGTGGCCAGAGCCAGAGACCACCGCTTGGCCTGTCAAAGCCTCCCTAGCTGTGGCTGAAGCCCTGCGCACGTGTGGTACTGCCTAGGGGATGGGCCATGGCATAGGACCTGCTCCCCTGGGCACCTCTCAGGGGCCTGTTCCAGTGCTCCCCGGGGCGTGGGACCTGCTGCTGCAGCCCACGCTCACGCGCTCCACCCTGGGAAAGCCATCCAGGGCCAGGCTCTCAGGAGACGCTTCTACCCCTCCCAACCCCAACCCCCCGGGGAACCTGCAGCAGAGCTGAGCCTGGAAGCCGAGAGCCTTCTCTTGGTGGAGTTCAGGGTCTGGGGAGATGGTCGAGCTCCAGTCACGCTGCATCCCTCTGCAGAGATTAGGCAGACATTAGCCACCCGGATGGGGCCCCAAGTGGTGCTGGAGGGCTTCTCAGAAGCCTTGCTCTCTCCAGGGAAGGCTGGTCCTTGCAGGAGGAGGGCTGCAGGTGGGCAAGCCCAAGCACTCACCAGGCCCTGGCACCCACAGCCAGGCTCTGCAGGGCAAAGCTGAGCTAGGTCCCCCTACTGCCCACAGGACCTCCCTTGAGATCCCACGAGATGGCCCGGACCCCTCAGCACTGGGAAGACCAGCAGCCAGCCACGATGGAGCCAACTCAGCGGCTCAAACAGAGCTTCCAAAGAAATTCCACTAATCTCTTCAGGGGGAGGCAAGAGGGTATCACATCCACGCACCAGGACTGGCTGCTTGGAGAAAGAATCAGTCTGAAAAGGCTGGGAATGGAATGCAGGCGTGGAGTCCAGTGGGCAGGCTGGGTGGTGAGGTCAGGAGGTGGAGCTGGGGAAGTACTCCCCAGCTCAGAGCTAAAGGGAGGAGATGGGGACCCATGGGGACCTTCCCCATGGGGAAGGTGGCATACAGGGGGCCAGCCCCTGCCAGCGAGGGCACCCTGGAGCCCAGTTTCCCTGCCCTGAGCTGGCGAGCTGGCATCTGCTGGTGGAAAGGATCCGTAAAAAGGCCCAGAAGGACAAAGGCGAAAGACACATTTCTGGCACCTACCTGCTGGGGAAACTCCCAAGTGTCCAGACACACAAGCACACACACATGCGCACGCGCACACACACACCCCTAAGTCCTCCTCCTCCTTCTTGGAAAAACGCCACATGCTTACCACCAATGCTACTAGGTACTAAGAGACCATAAATGGATTTTTTTTTTAGCTTTCCTAAAACAATGTTTTTTAAGTGAAAAGAGAAAGGGCAATGTCTTTCAGAGCTTGGAAGGAAAACATAGTTTGATCCTGAACACTACGCCTGCCTTCACTACTAATGAGGACAAAACAAGGACATTTTAAGATATGCAAAATCTCACTGTGTTTATTTAACTTGTTTTAACTTGTCTTAACTATGCCTCAAACACAGAGCAGCTTTCACTCGAAAAACAAGTTTCTACCAATTACAGTTGCGAGTTACCTCTAATGGTAAAAAGCAAAGTAAATGTTTCCTGGCCTGTCAGGGAGGTTCTCTACTAAACAGAGAGTCCGTACAGTCTGGGAACAGGGGGCACAGAGGGTAACCACACAGGAAAAAAAAAGTGAAAGTTAAAAAAAAAAAAAAAGATGAAGAGCCCTGGGTCTGCAGAGCCTGACTGGCTCCGTCAGTTGACCCCGTGACTCCTGGTCTCAGGGTCATGTGCTCAAGGTTCAAACCCCACACTGGGCATGGAGCCTACGTAAAGAAGGAGGAGGAGGAGGAGAAGAAAATGAGCCATTAGTCTTTGAACCTTGCATAATTCTCTTTCATGCAACACAGTTTTAATAACGAGGATTTCATTTCCTGGTTTCCTCTGGTTCATTGGTAAATACTCTCTGTTACCATCACGGTAGTCACAGACAGGGAGTGACACCTGTCAACCTTGATGACATAAGAAAAATGCAACTGGCCAAACCGTGTGATGGAAGAGGAGAAGATAGCCCGTTCTCCACACCCCCACGGAGCAAGTCAAGAAACAGTCTCCGACGTTGTTCACAAAATACAAGCTGCGAGTGCCAGGTCAAGAGCCTTAGCCAGCAAGCCCCGCGGGGGGGGGGGGGAGCCACACGCAGCGGACCCTGTTTCCGCAGAGCAGAAGGGACAGCTGCTAAGTCCAAGCGAGGAGGGAAGGGGCCCTCCGAGCTGGAGCGACTGCCTGCAGGAAAACAGCGGTGCTGGGTCATCTGGGGAAGCGGGGGACGTTCTGCATCTCTGCCCGGCTGCGGATCACTTCTGCTGCCCGGCCTGCCCGCAGCTCTGTGCATCCAGCGTCTGGAGTGCCTGGCTGGCCTCTGCAATGCCCCTTCCTCCTGCCTGTCTACCCAGCAAGCACCCAGCCCGCCCTCCTCCCTCACCTGACCGGCTCATCTGCACCTGTCCTCACCTCGACGTCACTCCCCCGCCGGCTCGGTTCAGCTCCAGCCACGGCCCTCACCCCCTGGCCGCTTCCTGAGGGCCCTCTGCAGCCTCTCCTTCCCGCTGCCTGACAGGCTGGGGCTCACTCTCGGTGTCCCCCACCCAGTGGTTCCCCGTGTTTGAAACACACCCATAGAGCCAGGGCCGCCTGGGTGGCTCAGTCAGTGAGGCATCTGCCTTCAGCTCGGGGTCCTGGGATCGAGCCCCACATCAGGGTCCCTGCTCAGCAGGGAGCCTGCTTCTCCCTTTCCCTCCGCTGCTCCCCTGCTTGTGCTCATGCTCTCTGTCAAATAAATACAATCTTCAAAAAAGAAACACACCCATGCTCAGAGTTGCCACATTTAGCGAATAAAAATAGTGCAGCAGGTCCCCCTGGGGCAGACGCTGTTGGGGGATCCCCAGAACAACGCCGGGTCCCTTATCTGCGGGGTGCGTAATCCTCACAGTGGCCACAGGATGGCGCCACCACCCCGCGCTTCCGACAAGGAGAGCGGGTGCCACCCCCGCCCTCACTGGGCTGCAGTCCGCAAAACGGGGACCCCTGCTCCGGTCTGTCAGATCCTGGGGCCACCTGCCTCTACACCCTTCTGTCTCCCCCCACCCCCAGAGCAGGGACAAGACTAGGGAGCCCCATGGGCCAGAGTGACAGCGGGGATGGGGGTGGGGAGGGGCTCAGCAAGGCGATGTGGTGCCATGAGACGAGGGGGCGACCACACGAGGCCGGCAGCACAGGGTGTGGACGCACCTGGGCCATGCGGATCCCATGTGAGCAGCCGCCCCACGGCCCCACTCGGGCCTCCCTGCTGCTCTCGGCCAGATCCCAGCCTGTCCAAGGACCCTCCCACCTCTGCTGAGACGCCTGGAGACCCAGGGGATCTGAGCCATTCCTAGGGCACTGAACCCTGATGGCTGCCCCGCCCCCGCCCTCCCCAAGCCTGGTGCAGGCTCACAGCTGGGGCCAAGACAAAGGCCAAACTCTGATCCCAGGGGTGGGGGGTTGGGCAGCCAGCAGTCCTGCTAGGTGGCGGGGCCCCAAAGTCCAGGAGACCGGTGCTGTCACCCCCAGGGCAACACTCACATCTCGACTCCAGACGGGATCCCAGGACCCCACCATCTCCTCCTGGACCTATGCCTCCTAGGCAGCCCCCAGCGCCCAGTCCAGCTCAGCTACACCCTGCCTGAAAGCCACGCGCACCACCAGCGGGGCCACCAGCTCCCTGCCCACGAGCTTGTCTTCTGCCTCCCACAGGTTCACCACAGCGTGGCGGCATCCCCTGCGGCCATCCCAGCCCCCTCCTGGGCCCTGGAGGCTGGATCCCACTTGGGTGCCCCTCAGATCCCCACTACGCCCAGCTCTGAGACAGCAAGTCCTCCCCATCCAGGTCCTCCAGGGTGGCCGGCCGCACTCAGAACTCTGCTGGGGGCAGGGAGAGATGTGGGGTCAATGGCCAAGCCCAGGCAGGGTACAGGGTACAGGGTAAGCTAGGTGAAAGATGGAGAGAAGGGGAAGGGTACAGGGTCACAACACAGGTGCGAGCATAGGGAGAGGTAGAAGGCCAGTCGAGAAAGGGCCCCAGGGTGTGCTGGGGTCCCCGGAGAGCCCTACCCACATGCACTTTCTCTTGGTCACTGCCTATGCAGTCTGGGGGCTGCAGGGTGTGTGGGAGACCTGCTCCAAAGACCTGCTGGCCATCTCCACTGTGCCCACTGAGCCTGGAGACCCCAGGCCACAGCCCGCCAGCTCTCCATCCCAGTAACCCGGTAAACCCCAAGCTGACTGGCCCAGCCTGGCCAAGAGACCCAGGGGGACCCATCCCCAGAGAGGCTCCTGTCTGCCCTGCTTCCTCCTCGGAGCACAGTGTCCCCAGCCCTGCCCTCCTCAGAGCCCTCACTGGCTCTCCAACCTCCGGGAGAGCATGCTCGGTGGCCCCTGGCCCCACTGTGACCAGGTAGTCCCCTCTGCCGGTGTCCATGGCAAGCTGCTCGGGCTCCACGATGTCACAGTGGGGGGCCAGGCTCAGCCCTGAGCGCCGCCACTGGGGGTCCTGCTGTAGGACCCACCTGGCCACTTGGAGGAAAGGAGAGGACAGAGGCCCATCAGGGCTCTGAAGCAGGGAGGGTGGGCCCCACATCTATGCAGCTCCCTTCAGCCTGCCGCTGCTGGAAGGAGGCAACCGTGTGCAGGTGCCCAGGTGGGCAGTCCAGGCCCTCCTGGGCCCCCCTGCCACTGCGGAGCATGGGCTCCAGACACAGCCCCTGCAGCAGCAGGCCCTCGGGGGGACACTCCCCACCACATCCGCTGCTGGGCCTGGGACGCCTCAACCCCCTCAGGCCCAGGGTCTCCAGGACTCAGACTCCTGCAGGGGAGGGTGCAGGCCGGCTCCCAGTGTCCCCCCAACAAGCACACTTGCCCCAATCTTGCGACTCCCCTGCCTCGGAGAGGGGCTGGGGCAGGTGGGCCAGGACCCAGTCTGGCCGGGGACTGTCCAGGGCACAGCAGAGTGGCACTATGTGCTCCGTGGCACACAGCAGGGTCTGGCCATGCTGCTCTGGACGCTGGGGCACAGGCAGGGAGTGGGGGATAGTCCCTGCAGCTGCACATGGGCGGGGCCGGCTTTGGGCTCAGCCAGCACCATGGAGCCTGTGCTCCTCCCAGGCCCACCGGCCCTGTAGCTGTAGGCAGGGGTGGAGTGGGGCATCAGGGTCCACAGCCAGCTGAGGGCCCGCAGGCTGCTGAAGGGGAACAGCTCCCACCCTGGCCCAGCACGGCCTCCACTCCGCCCAGCATAGCTGCCGTCTGCTGTCCTCCTGGGGGCTCCCTGGTCTGTGCACCTGTGTGTCTTCCCGCCCGATGCGGACGCCATTGTCACTGTCATCATGGTCAACCCAGCAGAGGTTGCACACTCTGCAGACATGTGCTGCTGAGCAGATTCTCATCACAGAAGGGGAAAGGGAGGCACAGACAGGATCCAGGGCGGTGCGGTGCCTACCCCCGGCTGCACCTTTAGGGTCCACCTGCGCTCTTGCTACCGACTGCCCCCCCCCTTGGTCATCTGCCTCCAGCCTCCCAGATTCGTTCCCACGGCTGCTGCCCACTTCCCACCTCTCACTGACCCCTCAGCCCGCCCCTGTGGCTCGTCCGGGGGACCTGGGGAGCCCGCACTTGGGCTGCACCCCCGGCACCCTGGCCTGAGCCTCCCTCATCTCCTCCCTGGATCACCGCACTAGCCTCTTGTCTTCGTCTCCCTCTGACACGCCCACCCCACCCCACCCCACCCCATGGTCCATCCTCAACAGAGGGCAGCGGAGCCTTGTGAAGTGGCGCCCACAGCTCCAGCTTGGGCCGTGGGAAAAGCCAGAATAACTCAGTAAAAGCCAAAGTCCTTTGGGGGCCCTGCCAGGCTTGGCCTGACCAGGTCCCAATCCCCTCTCTGTCCCCACCCTCCCTGCATTCGCCCTTGCTCAGCCAGCTCCAGCCTCTTTCCGTAGAGTAACAGACACTCCCCCCCCAACACCCAAGCATGGGCCTGTCCCTCTGCAGGGATGGGCCTCTCAAGAGCCCCCAGCTACCACCCCCGTGGCTCCCCTCACCACACTCTTCTTGGTAGATTTAACTTGAACCTAAAGTCCCTAAGGACTGGAGCGCATGGAGGGCTCAGATGATTAAATGTCTGCCTTTAGCTCAGGTCATGATCTCAGGGTCCTGGGATGGAGCCCCCCATTGGGCTCCCTGCCCAGCGGGAAGCCTGCTTCTCCCTCTCCCACTCCCCCTGCTTGTGTTCCCTCTCTCTCTGTGTCTCTCTGTCAAATAAATAAATAAAATCTTTCTCTTAAGATTTTTAAAATTTATTTATTTGACAGACAGAGATCACAAGTAGGCAGAGAGGCAGGCAGCAGAGAGAGGAGGAAGCAGGCTCCCCGCTGTGCAGAGAGCCCGACGCGGGGCTCGATCCCAGGACCCTGAGACCATGACCTGAGCCGAAGGCAGAGGCTTTAACCCACTGAGCCACCCAGGTGCCCTAAATAAATAAAATCTTAAAAAAAAAAAAAGTCCCTAAGGACCTTTGACTTGCTTGGGCCCCATCCAAGGCCCCGACCTCCACTACATAGTTGTCGTTTCTAATGATTTTTCTTGACGTGAGCCCCGTAAATTGCGTGGGCTTCCGGTTCTACACCCTGCCTGCCCGTGTCTTCTCTTGTCCTAGAGCAGATCACCTTTCGCACACTGTCTCAGGCGTGTCTCACACCCCAACCCGCGGCCGAGGGCCAGCCTCCCAGCCTGTGCCAGAGCAGGTCCCACCGTGACCAGGGGGCTAAGTTTTCCAGGATTTTTGTGGATCAGCTGTCACACTGGTGGCCGCTGGGAACCGGCCGTGAGGGGTGAGTCTGTAACACCAGCAGGAGCCGAGTCAGAGCTCAGGGCTTCACCAGCTACCCCTGGTCTTGCACGGTGGGCCAGTGCGTCATGGGCCCGGGATGGAGCATTCTCCGAACCACTGCGGGTCTGGGGAAGGCCACCAACAGGGCCCCCAGGCACTGCGGCCCAAACCAACCGGGGTGCGACAGTCCGCGGGCCCCAGCAGCACTGCAGGAGCCCCGGGAAGAAGCTGACTTGACCTGCGGTCCCGGTGATGACGCGGGGCTGAGAAGGCCACCTTCACCGGCCGCGAGGATGCGGTGAGAACGGAAGACACAGAAGGTCTAGTGTGGTCTCAGTGACTGCGGAAGCGGGGGCGCTCAGAGGGGAAGGCCCGCGGGTTTGGGAGAGCCCGCACGAAAGGGCGAGAGAAGAGGGAAAGCGGGGTTTGAAGACCAGCGCGGCCTGGAGTCTCGGGCAGCGCGTCCCAGGCTCCGGAATGCACTTCCAGCTCGCCAAACCCAAGCGGCCAGGCCGGGCCTCTGCCTCCAGGGTCTTCAGCCCCCGCGGCCCAAGCCTGCACTTCGGCGGACAGTGCGGGACGCTGGGCGCCGGCGTGGGGATCGGAAAGGAGCCAGCACGGCGGCCACAGCGGGTAGGACCCAACCGCGAGAAGCCCGGAGCTCCCGGTGGAGACCCGGCCCGCAGCCCCGCTCCTCCGCCTCCCCGCCCCGCCCCGCCCCCAGGCCCCGCCCCGACACAAGGCCCCGCCCCGACACAAGGCCTCGCAGCGTCTCCGCAGCCGCAGGCCCCGCCCCGGCCCCGCCCCGGCCCCGCCCCGTCACAAGGCCCCGCAGCGTCTCCGGAGCCGCAGGCGCAGGCCCAGCCGAGCCGGCCGCGGAGCGGGTGCGGGTGTGGGTGCGGGCGCAGCGGCCATTGACCGCGCGGTCGCGCACCGGACACCGTGCGCACCGTTCCGGAGGCGCCCCGCGAGTGGTGAGTCCCTGGCCCGAGCGCAGCGGCGTGGCTACCCGCTCGGCCGCTGGGCCGGCCGCCCCCGCGCGGGCCCTGCGCAGCCGAGCGGAGTCGCGGTGGGTCAGTCGGTAGGTCCCGCCGGGGCGCCCGGCCCGCTTGGGCCCGGCGCGGCGGCGGGCGGCGGGCGGCGGGCGGCGGGCGGGCGGG